TCTGAGACCCGCCAGGGCCCATTCCTATTTCCAAGATGCTACTTGTGACCTTAATGTGGTTTAGCCTCCCCTGTATACAGAAACTCTTCATTTTGCTTCTTTCAAAGAATAAACTTTCAGTCTTCTGCTAGGATAGGGAATCTAGATTTGCAAGGATATATGTCGAATAAACTCTAAGAAGTGGGATTGCTGGATCAAAATGTACACTTTAGACACTTGCATTATATTGCCAAATTATTCTCTATGGAGCCTGTCTCAATTGACACCACCACCAGCAGTCTATGAGAGTATCTGTTTCCTCATACCTTGTAAATAGTTATCAAACTTTCTGACTTTGAAAAAAGGTCTTTTTTTTTTTTTTGAGATCTATGGACCCTATAACATAAAGGAATGGTTTTGTTGGAATTGCCAGCTTAGGAAAAGGTACTGAGTTTAATTAATGAGTCAACCAAGCTCCTTGTGTCTTTATTTTTCTTTTGATAGTATATAACCTATGAATTCGAGATGGTCTTCTTTATGGAAAAAAGGTCATTTCATATCTGCCACTTTAATTTACATTTTTTTATTTTGAAATTATTATTGTTTAATTTACATTTTTCTTAAGTGTGAGAATGAGCATCTTTTACTGGTTGAGAGACATGTTTCCTTTCATGTCCTTGTAAGCGTTTGCTGGCATCCTGTGCCAACTAGACCGTTAGTCTTTATTTCATTGATTTCTAGAAGCTCTTCACTTTTTCCAGTTTCTTGTTTGTTGCTTTTGCTTATAGCGGTTTATCAGAAAAGAAAATATTTTTTAAAACAAAGCGAACACTTTTATTTTCTTATTTATTTATTTATTTTTGGTTAATCCTCACCCGAGGATATTTTTCCATTGATTTTTAAGGAGAGTGGAAGAGAGAGGGAGAGACAGAGAGAAATATCAATTAGAGAGAAATATATCAATTGGTTGCCTTCTGCACACACCCTGACCAGGGCCCAGGCCAGGGAGGAACCTGCAACCAAGGTGCGTGCCGTTGACCAGAATTGAACCTGGGACTTTTCGGTCCACAGGCTGAAGCTCTATTCACTGACCATTGGGCTCAAAGACTTTTATTTTCCATGCAAAGGTGATTCAGAGAATTTATATAAAGGTGGGAGGGGGCAGTGGAGCAGGGAGCTTCCTGAGTGAATTGCTTGTTTAAGTCCTTTGCCTGTTTTTTCTACTGGGTTGTCTTTGTAATTGATTTTTAAAAGCATCTTTATTTTTAGGGATATTATCTTCTTGCCATATGTGTTACACATATGTTTTCCAAGTTTGTCATCTTTTTAAACGGTGTTCTGTGCCATGCAAGACATAGAATAAAAATATCTCATGGCTTCTGAGTTTTGGGCTATTTTTAGGAAAGCCTTTCCCATTTCAAGACTATAAATATATTTATTTAAATAGTTTCTTTGTGGACTCTTATGGTTAATTTTTATATTTAAATCTCTGCTCCATCTGGAGTTTATTTCAGAATAAGGAGAGAAGTAGGAGTCTATATTTATTTTGTTGTAAATGGCTAGCTGTTTCAATACCTCTCATTAAATTAACCATGCCATTTTTATCATGTGTCCATTTTTACTGGGGTCTAATTCTGTACTCTTGTATTCCAGTGATGTTTTAATTAAAGAGGTTTCATAATATTTGGGAGAAAATTCCCCCCCCCCCAACATTACTCTTCTTTTTGAAAATTTCCCATAGCGAGGGAAGCCCAGGTCCCAGGTGACAGAGGGAAGCCGGTGTGGAAGGAAGGCCTATTCTTGCATGAATTTCATGCATTGGGCCTCTAGTATAGTCATAAATAGCGACAGTTTCATTTTGAGCTTTTTCTTACTGTGCTGGCCAGTGCTTCCAACACATCACCAAATAATGGGATCATGAGTAGAACTTGTGTCATGTCTTTTAACCTTACGTCCAGTGCTCTTTTTGGTTATGTGCTCAACCCACCAAACAGTTCCTGAGCATCAGTTACCTATGAAGCATTGTTCTATATGAGAAAGACATGGTTAAAAGAAAAATAAATTGTTCTATGTCCAAATTAGTAATCTTTTCTTTCCCAGTAAACAGATCTAGAGCCTGTTGATAATCCTAATGCTGTTAAAACCTCTCCAGCAAATTCAATATCCTACCCCAGTGGTTGGCAAACTCATTAGTCAACAGAGCCAAGTATCAACAGTACAACGATTGAAATTTCTTTTGAGAGCCAAGTTTTTTAAACTTAAACTATATAGGTAGGTACATTGTTATTAACTTAATTAGGGTACTCCTAAGCTGGCCTTTGCTAAAAACGTCCTCAATCTGATTAAGGTATGTTCAAATTCCTTACAATTTACTTTACAATATCCATAAAATTAAATCATGACAATGACTGACAAACACTAATATGAACAATGTCCTTGCATCTCCTTGGAAAGTTTGGGTAAGTCAGGTTTGTATGTTGTTGTTTTTAATTTAGGCACCATTCCAGGTTCTCATCAATAAGATGACTTCTCATTTACTCTTGATAAAGTTCATGCTTGAAAATGATTGTTCACATAAATATGTAGACCCGAATAAGGAAAGAACAGCAAACGCTAGTTTTTTCAGTTGATTATATGAGTCAGGAATAGTATTCCAGGTGTTAAAAATCAACATGTCTTCCTTCTCCAGGTCTTTCAAAGCAGACCACTTGTGCTATGAACTGAGTTCACATTTGTTTTTCTCCAATATTTCCATATCAGCACAAAGATGTTCAAATTTCGAGCTCCACAGTTGTTTTTTAAATCTAGCAATTGCATTTCAATGTTGCCAATGTCAATATAATAATAAAGCCACCAACACAAAAGAATTACAATTCTTAAATTGATGACAAAAATACCTGTAGGATTTGTAGCTGGTTGGAAAAATATAGGTAACTTTATGCTTCGAGTAGGTACTTTTGTCACTCGCGTGCGATTTGCGGATGCAACTAGCACTAATCACTGCACAATGAGACTGCTGACTGGCTCACTCAACTCGTGCATGAATCGCGGGCGCCTCCCCGGTGCTGTGTATCCCATGGCCTGCCTGTGCTGCATCTCCCGTTGCCCAACCAACACCCCCCCCCCACCCCCCACTTCTTCTAACGCCACTTCTTCAAAATAAACTCGCCCAGGCCGAAAATTGACTTCTGTGCATGGGCCACGAAGTTTCAATCGCACTGTACGTGCTTGCCCGCACGTGGTATTTTGTGGAAGAGCCACACTCAAGGGGCCAAAGAGCCACATGTGGCTCGCCAACCATGGTTTGCCGACCACTGTCCTATCCTATTAAGTTGACATGTGGCCCTAAAGAATTAGGACAGTATTTTATTTTGAGGGAGAGGAAACTGGAATGAGTAGGGACTAAAGAAGTGACTGAACAATGGGGATGATAAATATTTACTCCAAAGCCAAATACATAAAATAAATAAGGAGATAAGTGCCGTACCACCCCCCCCGCCCCCCAACCAAGCTAGACGTAGAGCTATCTGAAGGCACGGGGTGTGAGCCTCAGGCGGAGCAGAGCTTGGGGTAAGGTATGAGAGAAGGAAGCAGGCAGGTGTTCGGTGTGTGAGCTGCAATCACGCGGAGCTGACCACCTAGGGGGATGAGATCCACAGTACAGTTAAGCATTAACACAGAGTGCTCAAAGCTAGAGAATGTTTCTCAGAGGAGGCAAGTCATGCATGTGTCAGGTATATACTGAGTGCCTACCGCAGGTCAGGCCCCATCTGGATACAAAACACCAAACAAAAAAGACAGGTCCTTGTTCTCAGAAGGGCCTACAGTCCACGGGGGAGGCGGGCGTTCCTTAGGGAAACGTGTGAAAACGCGTGGATATATAATGAGTATGTCATTAGAAATTGTGTAAGTGCTATAAAGGCCATAACAAACTGAGAACATAAGAAAGTACATCATTTAGGTTTTGGGCGTCAGGGAGAGGTGAGGACACAGCCCTGACGCTGAAACCCGAGGGATGAACAGGCAGAGGGATTTTTTGGGTTAAGGTTTAGAGGATGCGGCAAATTCTATCCCCTCTGGCGACCGGAGCGGAAAGGGAACCTAGCTGGTGCCAAGGCACGAAAGCCCAGGTGTGACAGGTATGAGGAACCACAGGTATCACAGCTCAGTGATGGAGCATGCAGAAATGGAAACACCAAGAAGGGAAAGAAAAAAAAAGACAAAAATACGAGCAAGGCGGAAAAGGAGAAAACTAGATATAGATGCAGTACGTGTTGTGCGTTTGCCTCATGCTTCACGATCTAGGAGGGGTCCCCGCTTTGCAGTGAGAGAGTGGTCCCTGCCCCAGTGAACCCGAGCCTCACCAGGTAAATACCGGAAATAGCCGCCCTTTGCGGTCACCTTCCAGGGAGAACCGCCTGCCTGTCCTCGACCAGATCTTGTTAAGCAGATAGACTGTATTTTTACTTTTCTAAATAGGAATTCTCAAATGGATTTAAAAAAACAGTAATGGTCCGGCTGGCATGCCTCAGTGGTTGACGTCAACCTATGAACCAGAAGGTCACAGTTCAATTCCAGGTCAGGGCACATGCCCCAGTTGTGGGCTCGATCCCCAGTATGGGGCATGCAGGAGGCAGCCCATTAATTATTCTCTCTCATCATTGATGTTTCTATCTCTCCTTCCCTCTCCTTTCCTCTCTGAAATCAATAATAAAAATATATTTAAAAAATAAAAAAATGTTTTTATTGATTTTTTTTTGAGAGAGAGAGAGAGAGGAAAGGAGAGGGAATAGAAAAACAGAAACATCAATGAGAGAGAGAGAGACATCGATTGGCTGCCTCCTGCATGCGCCCTACTGGGGATCAAGCCCACAACCCATGCATGTGCCCTGACTGGGAATCGAACCTAGATTCTCTTGGTTCATAGGTCAACGCTCAACCACTTAGTCACATTGGCCAGGCCTACAATGGATTTTTAAGTTAACAAATGCATCTTACTTTGGGTCACAGGCCCCCAGACACAACTCCACAGAAGCATATGGTCGTAGGTCACTGGGCAGCCAGTGGTGTGGCCAGCTCAGGTGACGGACAACTCTTCCCTTCACTCTTCTTCTCTTTCCTGTTTAAGGTCCTCAGAGGGAGTAAGTTAGAAACTGTTATTGAGGTTATCAAGCTGAACGCAGTTAGAAACTGTTATTGAAGTTATCAAGCTTGAATGCCCTTCTCTAATCTCTGAAGAGATAAAACCTACACTATTGACTGGGCTGCTTGGACAGGCTGTCATTGAACTGATAACTGGGGGAGGTTTACAGTGAAAAATAAAGCTGGTTCTATCTACAAAAAGTGGTGTCCTCATCCGGGTGCAGTGCTAAGAATACTCTAATAATTCAACCGGTTCCGTGTCTGTGAGTGACAGGATGTCACAGCCTTGTGACAGCCGATTCTCTCATTTTCTTCCTGTTTTTCCTTCATTATGTGGACTGGAACCCACATTTCTGTCTTCCCCCTCAGTCTCAGAGAATTAAAACAGCACATGTGGAGCTATATTTATATGACGGTGGGAGTCAGCTCTGAGTTTTTTAAGGCCGGGACCCAAGAGATGGCACGATAGGTAGAGGTTTTTGTTTTTCAGTGGAGAAAGAGCGATTCTGTTGACCACTGCCACAATATGGGCAAACTCTCGGGCACACTGCCCACTGTTTCCTCTTTGCAGCTACTGTCCTTGCTCGGCATGCTTATAGGGCATGGGAGGAGGTGGGAGCAGTGCAGGGTGGGAGTTTGCCCAGGAGACATGGTAGGTAAGTCACTATTGGAGCCTGGTGTCCTAGAGGGGACAAGAGGGACTTATTACGAGAGCATAGTGGAGAAATTGTTTCCATACCAAGAGATATCTCTTCCTTTGATCCTAGAAGAAAAGTGTGAGAATGGGTTCATGTAGAGATAGAAATGCAGGTACAACTTGGGAGGTTCATGTTTTATGGTAGAGATTACCGACTGTTTGGTTCTCTGAACCCTTAGTGTCCTGTAACTTCTTCATGTCACCCTTAGACGGAAAGAATACTAGCAGGTCCATTTATTAGGTAAGGCCAACAAACCTAACAATTATTCATTTCTCATAATTTAGTAGCTGAGACATAAATTGGGCACTATACTGGGTGTGCTCTAGTTTTAATAACACATTTAATTCACCCATTTACAGTGTATAATTCAGTGGTTTTTAGTATATTCAGAATTGTGCAACTATTCACACAATCACTATTAGAACATTTTCATCACCCCAGAGACCTTGTACCCAAGCAGTCACCTCTCCTCCCCCTTTCCCGACCGCCTCTAGGCAACCACTCACCTATTTTCTGTCTCAAAAGATTTGCCTGTTCTAAACATTTCATATAAATGGAATCATACAGTATGTGGCCTTTTCTGCCTGCCTCCTTTCATTTACATAATGTTCTCAAGGGTTACACGTGTTGTATGTATCGGTATTTCATTCCTTTTTCTGGCTGAATAATACTCCATTGTGTGGATAGACCACATTTTGTGTAACCATTTGGGTTATTTCTACTTTGTGGCTATTATGACTAATGCTTCTATGAGCATTCACGTACAAGATTTTGTGTAGACCTGTTTTCACTTCTCTTGGGTATATACTAAGAGTGGAATTGCAGGTCATATGGTAGCTGTTTAAACAGATAAAAATATTTTTTTAAAATCTTCACCAGAGATATCACTTGATTTTTTTAGAGAGAAAGGAAGGACGGGAGGGAGGAAAGGAAGGTGAGAGGGAGAAAAGCGGCGGGGGTGGGGGTGGGGGAGAAAGAAAAAACACACACAAAAAACAATGATCAGTTGCCTCCTGTATGTGCCCTGACCGGGCATCAAACCTGAAACCTTTTGGTATATGGGACGACACTTCAACCAATTGAGCAATCTGGGCAGGGCAGATGTTTTTTGCTGTTGTTAATCCTCTCCCAAGGATATTTTCTGCTTCATTGATTTTTAGAGAGTGGAAGGGAAGGAGGTGTGGGAGGGGTGAGAGAAAAATCAACATGAGAGAGAGACATTGATTGGTTGCCTCTTGCCTGTACCCTGATCAGGGATCCAGCTTATAACCAGGTACAGGCCCTCAACTGGGAAATGAACTCAGGACCCTTCAGTGCATGGGCGATGATCTAACCACTGATTCATAGTGGTCAGGGCCAGGGCAACTGTTCAAACCTTTGAGGAATGCCAGACTATAAGCCAACGTGGCTGCGCTGTTTTACATTTCTACTAGCGTGTGTATGAGGGTTTGAATCTCTCCACATACTCACCACTTGTTATTATCTGTCTTTCTGATGATAGCCATCCTAATGGGTATGAAGTAGCATCTCTGTGGTTTTTTTAAAAAATATATATTTTATTGATTTTTTACAGAGAGGAAGGGAGAGAGATAGAGAGTCAGAAACATCGATGAGAGAGAAACATCGATCAGCTGCCTCCTGCACATCTCCTACTGGGGATGTGCCCGCAACCCAGGTACATGCCCTTGACCGGAATCGAACCTGGGACCTTTTAGTCCGCAGGCCGACACTCTATCCACTGAACCAAACCGGTTTGGCTCATTGTGGTTTTGATTTGCATTTTCCTGATAGCAATGATGCTGAGAATCTTTTCATGTGCTTACTGGCCATTTGTGTATCTTCTTTGGAGAAAAGTCTATTTGGATCTTTGGCCCACTTTAAAGTTAGGCTATTTGTGTTTTGTGTAGGAGTTCTTTACAGATTCTACATACAAGTACTTTATCAGAGATATGATTTGCAAATATTTTATTCCATTCTGTGAGTTTTCTCTTGTAATTTTGAGTTTTAAAAAACATCCTTTGGCCGAAACCGGTTTGGCTCAGTGGATAGAGCGTCGGCCTGCGGACTGAAAGGTCCCAGGTTCGATTCCGGTCAAGGGCATGTACCTTGGTTGCGGGCACATCCCCAATGGGAGATGTGCAGGAGGCAGCTGGTCGATGTCTCTCTCTCATCGATGTTTCTAACTATCTCTCTCCCTTCCTCTCTGTAAAAAATCAATAAAATATATTTAAAAAAAACAAACAAACAAACAAAAAAAAACATCCTTTGCATTAAAAAAATATATTTGCTTCACTTAAATTGCTATTCTTCACCTTTTGGTAATGTATAATTTTAAAATGAATATTTTTTTAAAATTTTACTTTAAGATGTTTCTCTTTTGAGACCTGAATTCAAATTTTGTCTCTGCTAATATCTAGCTCTAGATCGGGGTGGGGAACATCTGGCCCATGAGCCATATAAGGCCCAAAAAGTCATTGCGTCTGGCCCTGCCAAGGCATTAGAGGTGAGTTAATTAAATATTTCACCAAATACTAATTTTTAAGTTGATAATTTTGTATGGGCCACAAGTGATGTTATAAATATCGAAATGGCCCTTGGCAGGACAAAAGGTTCCCCACCCCTGCACTAGACAGTAACTTAGACAAGTCATTGTAATTTTTCTGACGCTAAGTTTTCTCATATCTAAAAAGATAATGGTTCCTATTTATAAGGTTGTTCATGAAGTAAGAGCAGTTATAAGCACTTAGCATTAATGCCTACCTAGTGGGCTCTCACAAAATGTGCTGCATTTGAATACCTTAAGAGATCTTTAAGAAGCACTTATTTTTCAAGATATGTGTGAAATATTAAGTACTGCATCCACTTAATGACTACTTAAAAAGGAATAAGACACTGCCCAGCCAGTGTAGTTCAGTGGTTGAGCATTGACCTATGAACCAGGAAGTCACAGTTGGATTCCTAGTCAGGATATACCCGGGTTGTGCACTCGATTCCCAGTAGGGGGCATGCAGCTGATCCATGTTTTTTTCTCATTATTAATGTTTCTCTCTCTTCTTTCCTCTCTCTGAAATCAACAAAAAATAATTTTTTTAAAAGAAATAAGATGCTTTGTACATGATCAATTTGTATCTAAAAACATATAATTTGGCCGATGTGGCACAGTTGGTTGAGCACTGTCCTGTGCACCTAAGGGATGTGGGTTTGATTCCTAGTCAGCGCACATACCCAGGTTGCAGGCTAGATCCCCTGTCAAGGGTGTGTACAGGAGGCAACCGATAGATGTTACTCTCTCTCCCTCTTTCTCTAGAATAAATGAAAAACATACATCAGATGAGGATTAAAAAGTAAATAAATCACAATTTAACAATCCTAATCGTGTGTCAGACTTACCATTCTGCAGATCTGAGGCAGAAGTAGAAGTGGTATTTAAGGATACTACATTCTGGAATGTTTTCCAAATTTGTTTTCAAGTCCCATAAGGTCTTATAAAGAAGTACTGAATCATCTATCCAGCAGTTCTCAACCTCTGGGTCGCGACCCCTGAAAATACATCCTGCATATCAGATATGTACATTAAGATTCATAGCAGTAGCAAAATTAGTTATAAAGTAGCAACAAAAATAATTTTATAGTTGGGGGTCACCACAACATGAGGAACTGTATTAAAGGGTCACAGCATTAGGAAGGTTGAGAACCACTGATACTAATAAAAGGGTAATATGCTAATTAGACCGTATAGACCGGACGTCTTCCAGACGTCCTTCGGAAGCTGCAGTGGCTGTGAGGGCAGAGGAGGGTCAGCAGCCATGGTGGCTGGCAGTGGCAGCAGCAGTGGGGGTGATGGGGGCAGTGCCTTCCCCTGATAGGTCCGGTAGCCTTGCACAGAGGGAGGCCAGAGGCAGCAGCAGCAGGGTGATGGAGGCGGTGCCTTCCCCTGATTGGCCTGGTTGCCTCCTGCAGAGGGAGGCCAGATTCTGGCTTAGGCCTGCTCCCTGGGGGACATCCCCTGAGGCCTCCTGGACTGTGAGAGGGAGTAGGCCAGGTTGAGGGTCCCCCGCTGCAGTGCATGAGTTTTCATACACCAGGCCTCTAGTAATGTAATAGAATAAGCTCATCCAACAAGATAAATCTGAGGTTGGTTACTTTATATAGTGAGTCAGTAAAGATTTCAAATGTGGTTCCTAAAGATACCCATCTATGTCTATTTCTCTTTAGAAGGTCACTGTGGCAAACACGTGTTCTCTTCAAATTTAAAAACAAACAGGTAAACATGCTTTTCTAATGGATTATTCTCTGAATCTGAAAAACAATAAGTTTGACCTAAACTGAATACTCTACATGTATTACATTGAAAAAAAAATGGTACGCTTTAGTCCCCAACCTCCTGGATTGTCCCACTGCTCATGCTCACTCCCTTGGTGATGGTACCCAGGCTTTAAATCCATTTCTTAGCTCATGACTGCCAAGTACATGTTGGCAGCTCGGTCTAAGGTAGCCTTTGATTAGTCACGGTCTCCTGGATGTTTCCTCTAAGTGCCTAACAGCCACCTCCCCGACTCATGTTAAAAGATGAACTCCCGATCTTCCTTTCAAAACCTGCTCCTTCCCAGGCTTCTCATCTAAGTTAATGACACTTCCACTCTCCAGCTGTTGTACCTACTCTGGATTTATTCTTTTTTCTTTTTAAAATATATTTCTTTATTGATTTCAGAGAGAAAGGGAGAAGGGGAGAGAGAGAGAAACATCAATGATGAGAATCATTGATTGGCTGCCTCCAGCAGGTCCCCTACTGGGGATTGAGCCTGCTACCCAGGCATGTGCCCTTGGCCGGAATCGAACCTGGGATCCTTCAGTCCGCAGGCCAGTGCTCTACCCACCGAGCCAAACCAGCTAGGGCTGGATTTATTCTTGACTCCTTCATTTCTCCCATAAATCATATCTAATCTGCTGGGAAGTCCCATTGGCTTCACCTCCAGAATACATCTAGGATACTAACCTCTCTCAGTCTGGACTGCGACCACCCCTAGTCCAAGCCTCCACTTCCTTTGGCCTGGATTACTCCACTAGCCTCCCAATGGGACCTTCCCCTCTTGCTTCCCACAGTCTACCTTCAAATCAGCAAATGGATTTTAAAGCCTGCAGTGGCTTCCCTACCCACTCTGCTGTAGCCACTCTGGCAGACTGACTTGTGTTCTATTTTGTGTTAGGAGCAAAAGTAGAATATTGGGAACTAGCTATGTTTATGGGAAATATAATTATGCTCTGTTAACTGTGATTGCCTTGTTCTGGTTAAAGAAAGGAAATTCTAACCTGGCTGGGAGTTGTACACCCTACCCCGGGACCTGGGAGTCAACTTTGGAATGCAGTCCATTTTCATTCAAGAACTGCCTATTATTCTGGAAAGACTGACAACTTTATTGCACAAACAATGGAGTACCAATGCAGCTTCCTACTTCCCTATGCCTGTAATCCCTACTTCCCCGTGTAATCCTTGTCCTACCCTATATAAGCAGCTGGTTTATGGGGGCCTGCAGAGCAGAAGTTTTGTGGCTGACCTGCTGCTCTCCCATACTGAGGGCAGTACTGGAATAAACGCTTATATGTGACTCAACCCTGTCTCTGCTTAATTGGCTCAAGTAGCGACAGGCGGCAGGGACCTATTGATTGTCCGGTTACATAAACACACTTGTGCCCTGCGGGCTCTGCCGTGGCTTTTTCCTCTGCATGCTTGGCACTTTCCCCTGACAGGCCATGGCTCACGGCCTCACCTCTCTCAAGTCTTTGCTGAAATGTCACCTTCTCAATGAGGCTTATCTTGAGCACCATATTTTAAACTGTAACCTACCCAACACATTCCCAACCCTCTTATCCCGCTCTACTTCTTTTCCTAGCACAATCACTATTTGGTTTACTTATTTGTGTTCATTGTTTATCCTCTGTCTTCTCCTTGCAAGAATATAAACTCCACAAGTGAGGGGTTTTTGTTTACTGATGCCTCCCAAAGGCTAGGACCGAGTGGCACACTGGAGCACTCAAATATTTGAGGATATAAAGAATCTTTAAAGACCGAACCTGTCACCGGACCGGTTTGGCTCAGTGGATAGAGCATCGGCCTGCGGACTCAGGGGTCCCAGGTTCGATTCCGGTCAAGGGCATGTACCTTGGTTGCGGGCAAGTTCCCACTGGGGGGCGTGCAGGAGGCAGCTGATCAATCTCTCTCGTCGATGGTTCTGGCTCTCTATCCCCCTCCCTTCTTCTCTGTAAAAAATCAATAAAATATATTAAAAAAAAAAAAGACCGAACCTGGCTAGGCTGCTGATCAACTGAAAAAAAAAAAAAGGCATCTTAATGAGTCTGGCTGGTGTGACTCAATGGTTGAGTGTCGACCTATGAACCAGGAAGTCACAGTTGGATTCCTGGTCAGGGCACATGCCCAGGTTGTAGGCTCAATCCCCAATAGGGGACATGCAGGAGGGAGCCTATCCATGATTCTCTCTCATTGATGTTTCTCTCTCTCTCTTCCTCTCCCTTTCTCTCTCTGAAATCAATAAAAACATTAAAAAAAATAATTTGAATGAGGCCCCTCATATCCTTGAGTGTGCATACAACCTGGTTGAAAGGCAGCATGTACATACTAAAAGATAAATACCAATACAAGACAATTAGCATATTCTAATAAATACCAAAAGAAGATAATGGTTTAGGATACTATACATGAAAAATGAAAGCTTAGCCCTAGCTGGATTGGCTCAGTGGATAGAGCATTGGACTGCGGATTGGAAGGTCCAGGTTCGATTCCAGTCAAGGGTACATGCTTGGGTTGTGGGCTCAATCCACAAGAGGTGATCAAAGATACTCTCTCATCATTGATGTTTCTCTCTCTCTCTCCCTCTCCCTTCCTCTCTGAAGTCAATAAAAATATATTTAAAAAAGAAAAAGAAAAATGAAGGCTTGGCAAAGTGCCACAGAAGTTTAGAGAGGTAATTTTTAAGTTGGGGAGGGGGGTGGTCACACCTCTTTGAAAATCTGATGAAGGCTACAGACTCCAATAACATAATAAACAGGCACACAACATTTTGAATACAATTACAAAGAGTTCAAACACTTCCTGAAGCCAGTCATGCATCCTGAATAGGGAATGCTTGGTTTCAAATATGGTTTTATCACCAGGGGCTTGGGAAAGGCTTGGTGAGGATGGGACCTTGCCTCGGCCTGAGAACAGGCTATGAAGGGGAAAGCAGAGGAAAGAAGGTTCTTTTCTAGCAAGAGAAAGAGCTAAGGGTGATGCAGAACAGTCTGCCTGGAATGCAGGCTTTCTGCAATATGTAACAACAGGCTGAGAATTACTGGGTACGTGACTTAAATAATTTGGCTGTTATAAGTCATTGAAAGTTTCTGGGCAATAATGCAATGTCTAAAGTAATGTTTTAAGGAAATTAATTTGGAAGTTGTTTATAGGAGCAAAGTTGAGAGAAAAAGTGAAATTAAGGAAATCATTCATAAAGCTATCTATATATGTAAAAGCCCAGTGACCGGAATGGAGAAACGACCAGGATGACTGGAACGACCGGTAGCTATAACACGCACTGTGGCAGCCAACCAGCCTGATCGGGGCCCCGATTGGCCCCCCAACACCTCGATCAGGGGTGGGGCTGGCTGGCCAACTGCCTGTGGCCCCTCCCCCCTGCTGGCCCAACCCCACCTGCGTATGAATTTGTGCACCGGGCCTCTAGTTATATAATAATTCAAGTTTGAAGAAAAGCAAAGGGAACTGCTAAGGTTTAGAAACTGATGAATTGGAGGCACAAATCCAATAAGAAATTCCAGTATGAAACTGAAAATCAGAAATGAATTTCAGGTCAGGCCCAGTTATATATGTTCATGTATTATTTACTGCATCCTTAAGCGTGTGGGGAGAAAAAACTAAGAATAGAGATTATTCAAAGGCATTGGATGGGACAAAGTGAACAGCCTATTATAATTGTGAACACAATAAAATATGTTAAATTCATACAGAATAAAACCCTAATAGAGCCGAAACCGGTTTGGCTCAGTGGATGGAGCGTCGGCCTGCGGACTGAAAGGTCCCAGGTTCGATTCTGGTCAAGGGCATGTGCCTGGGTTGCGGGCATATCTCCAGTGGGAGATGTGCAGGAGGCGGCTGATCGATGTTTCTCTCTCATTGATGTTTCTAACTCTCTATCTCTCTCCCTTCCTCTCTGTAAAAAATCAATAAAATATGTTAAAAAAAAAAACAAAAAACAAAACCCTAATAGAATGCTTGAGGCATACAGGTATTATGGGTAATTGAAAGCTGTGATTGAGGACTAACAAAATATTTTTTTGTTTAATTTTTGCTTGCTGAGTTTTTTTCCAAAAAGTATTATTATGCTTTTATCCCCCTTGATAACGGGAACACACTGAATTATTTTTAGACTAGAGGCCCGATGCATGAAATTCATGCAAGAGTAGGCCTCCTTCCCCCGGCTGCCGGCACTGGCTGACCTCTGGCACCCAGGACCCAGGCTTCCCTCAGG